ATTGTTATCGTTGAAGAGCTAATGTTATCTTTCTATTATATTATATAATAGATGATGACTTAGTCAATGTTAAGATGCTTGTTTTGTTTGTTCAAGCTATTTATACATTAGACTAACACATTGGATAACTTTGTATTATTGTTATTTGACCTCTAGTTTTACTTTGGTACTAGTTTTAGTCTTTATGTTTTTTAATTTTTGAATGGTTACTTTTCACAAACTTCTTTATTATCTTAGTGATAATCTTATCTATTTTTCTGAAGATGTTTTTTCAGTAATCTATCTCCTTAATACACCATGGTATATTACAACCTCCTAAGATGGAGATAGTGGTCTCTTTTCACTATTTGCTTCAAGGTTTTAATATCTTATGTGATTCTGTTTTTTATAAAAATTAACCTCTGATTAGTATTATTATTTGTCTACACAAGATATGAGAAATTTTATCTAACACCACTCGATCCTAGATGCCTTTTGTTAGTAGCTTAAATAGTGTTTGGGGTTATTTGTTATTAGCTATTTTATTGATCTGTTCAATATTCAAAACTTAATCTTTAACAAGGTGTATATCTATACACCATATCCCCTCGCTAAAGTGTTTAGGCATTCTATTCTTCTCATTTAGGTTTTGGACAACAATCTTTATTTTCATATCCTTTTTAGGAAATACTAGTTGTTTATAATAAAATTATCATCCTCTTCATCATTAAGTTTAGATAATTTCTATAGTGGCTAGTGTTTATGTCAATCATTGTTAGCTAGTCTTTTAGGCCTAAATGTTTTGGTCTGTCACCAAGATTCTACTTACTACACCTTGTCCCCAAAGTCTTTCCTTTTTAGTAAAGTTATATGACAGGTAAGATATCTATATTTCATTAAATGACATATCCTAGATTTTTCAAACCACCTTTTCATTTTTTTTATTATCTATACACTAACCAATTCTAACATTTGTCATAGTCGATTAGGCCATAACTTTTATAGCTCTCCCTTATAGACATGCATAGCCAATATTGTTGTTGTATTGGGGAATGGATGGTTATCTACTTTCATCTTTTTATCTAGAAAGCAAATACAACTAGCTTGTAATGCCTTTGGAATCTAGTTTTTAAAGACGACACAATCATTAGTTCTATGCCACTTCTAATACTTATTTCCTTTAATTTGGTTAGTAGTTGGGATGCTATGATTGCTAGAGAGCTTAATTTTCCCCACATATATAAATTGATTAAAGATTTTTTTGAGTTCTTTTTATGTTAAAACATTACTCATTTTTTTCAACAACTTTGATATCTTATATATCTATGCTACTAGATTTATAACCTCTCTAGGCTTTTTTTAATATCACAATTTCAAATGATCTTCGTTCTTTTATTTTAATGATTAATATGAGTTGTTTAGCATTCTCAAACTTCTCATTTGACTCCCAATCAATTAGAGAATACATGCTTATGACATTGTCTGAATAGCCAAATAAATATATTTCTCTAAGTGGTTTCTTGTTTCTTATTTTACCAACATCACCATTTAAAAATAATATCACTTGTTAGGCATAAATGCCTAAGTATATGAATTTTATAAACCACTTGTTCAAGTTCCACTACATTCCTTCTAAAATAAACTTAATGCACTTATGCTCTATAATAGTTGTAATGCATTTAGTTTTTAACATCTTAAATCCAAAGACATAACTTTTAATTGACTCATTGGGTCATGGACAATCTTAGTTTTATTCTGTATAAGTACTCATTTAAATGAGTCTCTACTTCTTCCTAATTATTGATCAAGTTTTGTGGGAGTGTAGAGAACTAATAAAAACTTATTTTTATTAGTGATGAACTAAACAATATTTGCTTTATGAAAGGATTCACTACATTATTGTCATATTAGTTTATGAACTTAGTGACGTGTTTCCTTGTTAATTAATTGTCTTTTGTAGAGAATTGCTTAAAATTTGCAATCTCATTCCTCTAGAAATTAGGTGTAACTTAACTTATTTAGGATATAAGCAATTATTATAAGTGTTACTATTCATCTAATTTCTAACCCCATCTCTCTTAGGTGCTGAGCTAATAACAGTTGCTTGCTATATAAAAAGGGATTCAGGTTCCCCTATTGTAAAATAACTTATATAGCATTAAACTGCCCAATAATAAGTTGTTGCATAGAATAATAGAGTTGTTAGGCTATATAATTAGCTTGTTATTGCCTATATATTTGCAAGGGAATTGGTGTATTAGAGGCTATCATATCTAGGTTTGTTGTTATGGCTAATACATTGACATATGTTCCACTATATAAAGAATATTAGTTTCAAAAACCTCTACTATAACGATTATGGCTATAGAACTTTCTAGGATATGCCTCCAAATATATAAGCTTGAGAAACTCCATACTTGTTTTACCATAGTTCATTATTCAATTGATCAAAATATGGCATGCATGGCTCATATTGGCTACAATGATATTGTTATATGTTAAGTTGTGTTTTGTGCTCTTCATCTCTATTTAGTTGCCCTCATATCAACATTAGAAAGGTTTTAAAGCTAATAAAAGAATACCTTTTTAAAAGTTATTGTTATTGGTTGGATAGTGCTTGTCACAACTAATTGTAAACATATTATAACACTATCTAGTTCATGTAAGAGAGGTGTGTATATGACAATGTTTGATGCATAAATACACTTATACACCAATCCATAGTTGGTATTGATAATATTAAAAAAAGGTAGAAATATAAACAATTGCATGTAGAACTATGTCCAAATGGAGTTCCATGTTGTAGGGGTGAGTTTGATGTTAAAAACCCATATCATCCTTCTTATAACCCTAGTTGATCCATAAGGTTACATGGAGATGGAATATCAAGCTCCTCATGATTAAGAAACAAGCCTATCTATATCTCTTGTATTTATTGTTCATAAAGTGTAACAACAATGATTTTATTATATTATTATTTGGTGGCATATTTTTTGGTTAATGGAATTAAGTCTTTCCCATTGGGCATGCTAATATATTGACCTAGAAAGATAATTTTTGGTTAATTAAGCTACTTGTTTTTCATTTCTTGTTTCCAATAAGGAGAAACTACAACTAGAAATTGAATCATGAGCATAATCAAATAGTAGCCTTGCAAAATCAAATAGAATATGGGGATACCAAACCTCAAACCTTAAAAAAGTGATTTGTTTCATCTATTATGTAAAGAAGAGAAGAACGAAAGAAATTAGTGAAAGAAAGTAATAAAAACTAGAAAGAATGATAAATTATGTTGAAATTGCATGTATTAGGCTAACCCTTTTTCCTAATAGCTAGCATGGTCTATATATATTGTTACAATGTTAGAGTTCTATGCAAATACTTAAATCCAATCCTATATAGATTTATTCATATCAAATAAGAAGATTAAATAATAAATCCGTATACAAATTGAAAACTATCTTATGTCCTTGTTGATAACCATATAAATCCTAACTAATTTATAACACTAATCAATTTAATTTATTAAGAGCTTTTGCTCAGAACAGGACAAAACCTTCTAGTCGATTACACAAAAACTCTAGCTGGTCCGATCATTTTCTCTTGATTGATCATAACTCTTGGTCAATTAAGGTAATATCAATAATCCTATGCCTTGAGGACCTGCTATTGACCAACAAGCAAGGAAAGGTTTGATATGATTGAACTAGCCCAACAATTGTGATAAATGAAGCTAGATAGTGGACATATAGCAGGATGATAGCTAGATATTAGACTCACAACACAACCAATACACCATTGTCCATACCTTGAATGGTTGATCAACTCTATCTAATTCCCAAAAGAATAGAAATTGTTGATTTTTAAGTAGTTCTCTAAGGAATACAAGTGTTAACATGGGAACAGATTGCTAAATTGACATATTTGAGTGGTGGTGTTGGTAGTAATTCCCTTTGATAAAGGCAAGGCTGTTTGGTTATTCATTAACCAAAACTACCTTCCACTTGTTCTCTAGAACGCTCCCCAATTCAATCAATAGTTGAGAGGAAATAAAGGCACATTTTCATAAACACTTTATAGAACAAAACAAGAGGTAACATTCTCTATAATGCTCCCCAATTCAATCAATAATTGAGAGGAAATAAATGCAGAAATAAAAGCACATTTTCATAAGCACTTTATAGAACAAAACAAGGGTAACATTAACTAACTTAACCAGAATTGTTAACAACCCAAGAAAAACCATAGGTAGCTATGCACTCCAATTTAGGACTCACTATAGCTATAAAAAAACAGGAGCGCAACAAGTTAACTCTATAGAGGATGCAATGAGATAGAGGTTCATCAAAAACAAATAAATTGCTATTTATATCCTTATAAACAATGCCGCCCAGTATGAAAAAGATGTTGGGCAACTGAGCAAAAAAGTAGCCATTATAAGGAACTTACCTTGTTGGCTACTTGAATGAGATTGTAATGGCTCATTCAATTATTGACTCGGATTCTAATGAGGATTTTGAGGAAGATCAGCAACAGCTAATCTTAGTCCCAAAACTTGAAAAGAGAAGACCATTTGAGATAGTTGTATTAAATGGCAAGATCTTTTTTTTAAGTGTTCGTTAACTTCCTAATGAAATTAATTTTGCAAATAGACTGTTATAATTGTTTCTTATTTTATAGAGGTTGTGCTTCCATAATGGCTTTTACTTTATTTTTCTCCACCATATTGATGCAACAGAAATCCTAAGAAGCTCCCCTGACATAAAAAATAGAATAACTATGAAGGGACTAAAATTTTACCTTGACATAAAACTCCAGGCACACTATTATACATGCACTATTTAAGAATTCAGACAAAAATTCAATGTTAATAAGACCTCTGGGATGCACAAGTAACTTACCCAGTAGTAAATGAAATAATGTGCTGAAACAAAAAAAATTGTTTAATGAAATCATTCCCAGCATGCTTTGCAGATTAAAGACCACTAATGAATGAAATTCACACATGTGCTGTACAAAGAGACAAAAGAGAGCTTGAATTAGAAAGGGAAATAAATTGAGGTTGATTTATTCATTAGCTGTTAAGTTTGAATAAATGAAAACATAAATCAGAACCTAAAAAACAGACAGAAAAGCTCTATACACCTACATTTCACTACCAATATCTAGCCAGCACTGGTGACTTGTCATGCATGATATTGCTTGCAAAATCAACCACCAGAAGGGAAAGGGGTAAAAGAAACTGATGGATGGACAAACAATCTTCACAATCTTGTTCATGCAAACACCTTCCACTGGCTTGAATGAAACATCAACTTTTCTTAGCCTAGTCTTCTAGGAAGAAATCCAGAACCTCGTACAACAATGTTCATTTCATACACATCAGGAACTGTTAAAAGTTAAATCAAGAAGAGGGGATCAAAAGAAAGAAAATATGCTGAAAGAGAGACCTCAGAACAAAATGTTTAAGTTACCATAGCTACAATATCAATGAGAATATCACGTTTGACTAGCTATTTGAAGAGGAATAGTAGTGCAGAAGATGAAATAATAAATAATGCAAAGCAATGTAGATGATTGAGGTCATTAACCATTTTCCAGTTTCAAGCACAGCTCCACAAAGAATGAATCAGCATAAAACAATGAACAAAAGATGGGATTGATAATAGAAAGTACCAGTTATGGGGTTCTGGGTTTCATTGTTGAGAAACTAACATAATTAAATCCAAACCATGACCAATAAGACTGTGTCAGAAAGTTTTTGTCGAAGCATTTAATTACGAAAATGTTTTTAATATAAAAACCCCTGAAATAGGTTCATGAAATTCATTGCAGTTGTTACTTCGCACTTGCCATAAATAATATTTCTTCTTTTAAAATAAACAGTGCTGCACCATTCATATTAGTAATCGGGTAAGAGATCCAGGAAACATTAAGGCGAGTGATGAGGTTGTTCAATTCTTCATATGTCATAGCATTGCATATAGAATGCAATAAGAGAAAAAAATGTGGGGGGGGGGGGGGGGGGGGGGCCAAAAAAAAAAAGGGGGTTTTTGG